TCAGCAGCCGGTCCTCCAGAGACTCAGACTGTGGAACATGCTGAAAAACAACCAGTGTTAAGATCAGGGAGACCCGAGCCTGCTGCTTTTACAGGACAGATTTATGTGACTGCTGACTTACAGTGCTGCTCCATTTCATCATGCTTCTGTACATGCTCTCCTGTGAAAAGAGTAGAAGATGAAAGCGGCTCACATCAATTACTTATCCTCTGTTTGTAAAATAACTATTGAATAACTCTCCTCCTGGTTAGAGTGTTTTTAATGTTTTATTGACCCCATTTCATAAGATAAAGATTGGACTCCACTGTAAGTGAGAAGTAACTCGATCCTGGTTTGCATCTTTGTGGCAAAGGATTCATACTTCAGGACAGTAACGACATAATATATAACCAAAGTTTTGCAGGAACTATTTGATGCTTTTTGAGTCTCAGTGACTTTCCGCAACAGTCGTCAGACCTCAATTCCTCTTAACATGTAGCTGTGGAGAGACATCTCACACAGGGCCTGAATAGCTAGCTCGCAAGGAACCTTGAGATGGGAAATGCTGAAGCTAGAAGGTTAGCAGCAACTGACGTTTCAAAATAAGTGAGGGCATTGCTTAATAGTCAGTGAAACACTCCATAACCTATGTCTGGGTCTTTAACGTTTACACAGGACTGACTTCACAAGAAGCTCTGTGGAAACTTTAAAGTGGTGGCGGAATGACGTGGGCTGTCGTCTATGAACAGAAAAGTGGATAAAGTTCATGCAGCTTTTGTGCTGCTGTCGCAAAAAGGAAGGAACAAATCCAGACAAAATAATAATAAATACTTGATATGAAATTCATGCATATGTTCCCTGTTTTTCCATTTCTACTAAATTGGGCAATTCCCTAGTGAAGGATGATGCTGTGCTCACTCCTTAGAGGAGAAATCTTTTTTGATTGGGATCTGTATAGTTTGAGTGAAACAGGAGCATGCCCCTGATTTAACAGCCCCCGATTGCTCCATTTTCATACCTCACTTGAACCAGGATGCACGTCTTGTAAAACAATGTGGATTCCTAGTCTCCACTCTCCAACTGTAACTGGATCTTTGAGGTAATCTCTGGCGAAATCGCAGCACGCATCCCAGCTGTTAAAAAACACAAAGGCCTGGAGAGGAAGAAAGGGGAAAAAATGACGCAGCGGAAACATTCAATATTAATCATTAAATTGAATTAAATTTGCAAATGCAAATTTCTCTGTATCAGCCTGCTGGGTCTACTCCTCACCCTCCTCTGCAGTGATAAAACGATTATGTTGTAGTACAGAGTCTGAACAGTCTGATCAGGGAAGTAACGCCACACCAGCTTGGCAACATCCTCCTGTCTGTAGTTTCCTTCTGGCAAACCGGTCAACATGATCGTGGAGAACGTAGAACCTTGAGATTGGGCTTTCTACAAGACACAAGGTTCAAGAACCAAAGTTTATGTGAAGAGAAACTTTGCAGCACTTTTTAAAAAAAAATATTACTATAACTGACCACATAGAGAAGACAAAATGAAACCAAGTTTAGCAGAAAAAGAGAAATGTGGTTTTTGAGGTGGGTATTTGGAAAAATGGACGCCTCTTGGTATTTACTCAAGGATTCCTGTTTAACACATTAAACCTTGGTTTATAAGATGCACTCACCTCAATGTCATCAGGTTCCCTGACAGTTAAATACTCTAGAAGTGTAAAACACACACAGTTAGTAACAGTCAACACTTTATATCTGGAGGTTAATTTTAGTTTCTCTCACCTGGGATTGTGAACCAAGGAGCGACAGTGGGGAACACAAAGGGATTAGTTGTCATTGTGATCCAATATGGTGAAGTGCTGCGTTGTGGGATGATCACATCTTCTGTTGGGACAGCTGCCCCGTCAACAGCAACATCGCTGTCTGGCAAAGCTTTGTGTGGCAATCTTGGTGCTGCACAAGAAAAAATAAGTTTTGTTTAATTTGTGTGTGTGTGTGTGTCAGGTTTTTAACTGACTTTCAGCTTAACTTTAAGCACCTTTACAGATACCCAAGGTATCATAGGCATCAGGAAAAAAATGATTAGAGAGTTAGACCAAATGCCAGTCTGAAAAAGTGGAGTTTAAGTAATGGCTCTGGTTCATGTGTCTAGGGCAGAGATAAGCAGAAGGGAATTGACCGCTGATGGAGCAAAGATTTCTGGAGGGACCAGAAAAGAGGTCAGAGAGATAACAAGGCAAATGAGCATCAAAGGATTTGTGGGAAGGAGAATCACAGTGTTAGTGAATCAAAGTTGAGGGAATGTGTCACAATGATTTATTGTGGATGACGATAAAGCAGCAGTTTTGCATATGTTGCAACATTTCTCGGACTTCGCTTTATCCAGAGTCCAGGGAAGAACTGAAAAATATATCCATGACTGTTTCACAAACAGAAAGTGAAGGAAAGCTTATTATCCAGACTCTGTGTGATAGATGTGATGTGTTTCCATGATGGTGGAGATGGAAGCAGCTGGTGCAGCACTGGAGCTCAATCATACTGTTGAAATTTTTGAGGAAACTTCAGAATAACCGGGGTTACTGGCAGTGTTAGTTATTTCGGACATGACTACTTGTATTTCAGTATTGATAAAACTGAACTCTGAAAATATCTCTAAGTTCCTCTTTTATGACTTTAGACTTCTCCTCGCAGGGGGTTTAGTGTTGGCTTTCAGTTCTTCAGCAGTCATGCCTGCCGTTTCAGTTAGGTCGGATGAGACCTAGTTCGATTTATCTGTATCATGTTGGCGCGTGGTTCTTGCAGGCCGCGAGGTGTCTTCTTTCCACCAGAAAGTCCCACAGTAGTCTGTGGTTCGGCCCAATAAGTCCTTATTTTGCTCTCTAAGCAAACTTTAGGAGTTCAGAAAGTGGAATGTGACATTTATGAGAGAATTTTTCAGAATTCTGCAGCTCTACCAAGTTGTGTGTTACACCATGTCTTGCTCTATAGCGCCCCTGATTAGTTGGAATTTAATCTATCTCTAGTATCAGTATGCTTTTGCCACTCCTTGTAATCTTCAATTCACTTGCTTTTTTTGTGCATCACCCACTAAGACGACAATATTTGCCGTATTGTCCAAAGACGAGAGTCTCTTTGGACAATACGACCAATGTATAAAAAGTATAACTCTTAAGCTTGCCTTCTAGAAGACCATGTAGATCTTTAAAGCATGCAAATGTACCTCACCCAAAGCAATCCCACAGTACAGGAAGGCCAACAGGACAAAAGCAGCTACCCTTACCAGACAGGTTTTACAGCCAAAAAACAACCCACCATATTCAGGGTATTACCAGATGACCTTCCATCAACTTCACCTTTTTTTCCCCCGTTTAAATCACATTTATTTAAAACCCCATTCAAAACACACTTACGCAGTGACGTAAATCCACTGTGTGGTATTTCCACCCTTGACAATTTGTGGCCGGTGGCCTGTTTTAGAAGGCTGTACCAAACACCAAGGCGATCAGCATCACACACAGACTCAAATTCAATTAACACCTGAAACACAAGAAAGATAAAATTTACTCTAAACATTTTAATTTCACATTCTAAATGGTAGAAAATGGAACACATGGAAACAGTGAGCTAAGCACAGCTTTATTGTGGAGTTCGCTGGATTCAAAAGTCAGAAATCCTGGCTCAATGAAGCACTGGAGCCGTGCTCAACGTGACCCCTGCACTAATGCTCTAATGTCATGAACACTAGTGCGCATGAGCATATGAAGGATCATGTGCTACAGCGAACAGATTACCTGCAGTCTCTCTTTACTATCTTTAAAGTTTTGCAGTTGTGCTTTCATCAAGATAAGTAGCATCCAAAACCAGTCAAATTATCTTGTTTTAATGTGTCTGTCAATTTTGGGGGGATAGTTAAGAATACACTTACATAAACACATATCTCATACAGCCTTTCACAGCCTTTTAAAACATGCACTTGTTGCTGCTTATAAGTGTGTTTATACCTTGTTGAGAAGAGGCAGGTAGTTTCTTACAATACCGATTTTTCCCAAAGCTTCTCTGAGATCCCGGGACTCGTCTGGTGAGATGTTCCTGATGTAGATTGTCCGTGCTCCAATATCTATCCCTGCCTGTTTCGAGAAACCCGGGTGAACATTAAAACAAACCAGAAACAGTATTTAGTTTAACAATATTTCATGCTTTCTTAAACTACAGTTCCAAGATCAAGGTCATAAGTTTGCACATATAGTCACACAGCAGTATGCACCCTGGCAGCTATCTTCATTATCCAAACAATTTATAATTGCAGCTCTTGCTTTTGTTGATAACATTGTTTGAGAAAATATTTAAACTTAGCTGTGTACACAGAAAACCACTTTTGGCCCTTTCCTGGGTTCTTAGTTTTTTGCATGTTTCAAATTAAATAAAAAAAAAAAACACACACAAAAAAAACACATTTTTTTTAAATACAAAATGCAGTTTTGAATGAGGATTTAACTTATTGCAGGAAAAAAGTTATCCAAACCTTTCCTAGCCATGTGTTAATATATGCTCATATTTTTCAAGGTGTTTTGACTTGGATGTGAGTGCTGCCAGGTATAACTTTATACTCTATACTTTATAAGGTATTCTAGTGTAGTCTTTGTTTCTGAGATATGTGTGCGTGTTACCTTCTTAACATAACACAGCAGATTCATCAGATATGTATAAAACTCAAGCTGAAAGAAAAACAAATAGTTAAAAGTCATTACATGAAATAAATGTTGGATTCTGTTAAATTGATTTCAGTTCAAAGAGTATTTTTTATTACTTATAGCCTCTACAAAATATTACTTTTTTTTTTTTTACTTACAACCACATTTTAAATAGATTGAACATTTAAAAACATCAGCTTGCTTTTAAGGATACTGTTTCCATCAACAAGCAGAAACAGATATTTTCAATTATTTTTAATAACATATCTCACAACAGTAAAGTGTATTATCTAAACACAGTGCTCACCGGGGTCTTGAAATTCAAATTCCTGCGCTTCACAACCTGCAGTCGAAGTTTAGACCCATTGAGAAAAAATTTACGTTTATTTTCTGATGCTAGCACGATGTTTTTGGCTGCCACTGCTGTCGGCATGAGGGCAAAAGCCTGAAGGAAAAACAAACAAACACTGTGCTCACAAAATACGTAATAACTAAATGTTAGTTAGGTCGTCTTAGAAAAGACATTTAGAATCTTATTAAAATGAAGGTAATAATCCAGCCCAATGCAAATTCATGGCCTGGTGCTTACCATGCGCGCCTGTGGTATAACGTAGATCGTATCGTCGTAATATTCAAATCTGTGTGGAGTGAGCAGATCGGCGATGTCCTCCTCTAAATAACAGCCATCACGATACTCTGGCAGGTTGCTTATTAACAGCACCTTGCAATTAAGCGAAACAAGCTGTGCAAAAGAAAAGAATAAAGTCAGAGTTTTAGATTAGTTTACAATTGAAGAAATTCCGGACAGAAATCTCAAAAAGGCAAAACATTCAGTTAGAAACTGTGCCTCACTTTGAGCACTGTCTACAACTATGAACACAATGAGGTACATCAGAATAAAATACTGAGTACAAAATGTTTCTGATGCTGATTTTGGGTTGACTTTTTTTTTTTTTTTTACACAGTACAGCTCAACCTTGACTCACTGATAAAAAAAGGCAGTAAGAGTCAGCTATGAAAGTATTTTTCATTCATTTAAGGTGGATCCTTAAAGAGTGATAACTGATTCACAAAAGGAAATGTGTAAACAGCACTATTGCGCTTTTCAAACTCAGGAAGGAAAAACTGTTTCTGTAGTAGACTGCTTAAAAAGAAAAGCTGGGCTTCTATTAATTTGTGAGGAACTTTCATCTCTTATGCTTCTTAAAAGGTTCTTTAGTTGTAAAACAACTTGCTGAGGTAGTCAAGCCCCCTACTTAAACCCCTATTTTTTTAAGCACTCAAAACCACCATGTCCTGGATGATTGTGCATATAATTTGAACATTTCAAATTAGCTTTTTAATAACAGACTTTTTTTTTTTGCCTGTCCCGTTTGGCTCTTTTGCCATCAGAATTGTTGTCTAAAGGCAAAGAAAGATGCCCAACGGATTTACTTTACCAAATTGACCATCCCAGCCTTGCCATAATGGTCCATTTGATTCACCTTTTATTGTTTATTTTATTTTCATTTGCTGAATACGGGACAGACTTGACTGGGGGAAAGAAGGGGAGAAAGAAAGAGGGAGAGAGAAAAAAACAGCTGAGAAGAGGGACGGGGGAGAAGGGCAAAAAAACCCAAAAACCAACAGAATGAGCAGAGAGAGGAAAAAAAAAATGCATATATCGATCACCTGGGTCACCTGCTGAGAAAGAAAAAAGAAAACAAGCAGAAGAGAACAAGAGTAATAGAATAACCAGCATCACAATGATATATGGGAATACGACAGTAAATACTAAATATTAAACATTATTGTGAGATTGTAAGATCGACAGCGCACAGTGTGCTTTGAGGTAGGAGCCAAAAAGGGTGTCGTTTGTGGGTGTGATCACCCGTGTGTACACCTGTGAGCATGGACGCGCTTGTTTTTTAAAGGTTCCTTCATGTAATGATCTGCTAGAGGGTGTGGGGGGGCCACAGCCCCGTCCTCCAGAGCATGAAGCAGGTATGGAGGAGATCAAAACTCCAGACATCCAGAGGCCCCCAGAACACAAGAGACCAAGGAAGACCAACAGAGGGGCAGCCGCGCCACTGTCCCGGAAAGAGCTGAGGAGAGTCCCAGATGAGGGCTCACTCAGCAGCCGCGGAGCAGAAGCCAGGGGGAGTTGCAGTGACGCGCCCGTGAGCTCCGCCGGCAGCCAGCTGTGCCTGAGTGACCGAGCCCCAGGCCGAGGGGCCCGGGGCACTCCACCTCCGGAGTGGCCCAAGCGAGCCCCAGGCTCCAGGCCCCGACAAGCGGCCGCCAAGGAGTGAGCCGGTGTGTACCTGGATGCCCATCCCCAGACACAAAGAACCACCAACGCACCGATGTCTGAGGGAGTCCGCCACCGGCAGGGGAAGTGGTGGGGGGAGATAGACCTCCAAACCTTGGAGGGCCTGAGATGTCCCCAGAGAGGTGGCGCCTGACACCCAACCTGACATATAGACACAGACATACAGGCACACAGAGACACAAACATCCATTCCCACCCTCATGCTCTCATATGCACTCACTCCACACTCAACCAACGTGGAGACAGACATAAAGAGACGCTGTACACACGATCACACTCCCCAAGCGTACTCTACGAACCGGGTCTAGGTACCCTTGCCCCTGGAGGGGGGAACTGCACCCAGACCCAGGTGGTGTTACCCTTTTCCCTGCGGTGGGGAGAGGCAGACCACCCCGACTCCACAGCAGCAGGGAGGCCCCACACTCCAGACCACAGTCGGACGGCCAACTCCTCCTCCTAGCCCCCCCGCTCCAGCAGGCCGCAGAGAATGGGGGTGAGAGAAGACTCCAAACCTCCCTCCACCCGCTCATTGTAGTGTTGATGCATGTGTGTTCTAAGGTGCATTTAAAACCCAGGAGGGCATGGAGCTGCCTGCCAGAGAGCAGCAGGTAAGCGCATGGTCCCTCCTGCTAGCCCTCAATGTCTACGTGTATTTAAAATTGAGAGGTGGGCAACGACGCCAGGGGTGAGGTGTACAGACTTTTAATATGTGTTAGTATACAAGATAATTTTTCGCCATCTTACAATGCTGTGATTGCAGCCATTCTCCAACTCTCTGTGAATGGTACTCATGACCATTGATCAATGGGTTTTGATCAGTGAGTTTTGATCAGTGGTTGTTGATCAATGGTCATGAGAATTTGCATAATTAAAATAAAGGGACTGACCTCCCAGCCCATTGTTCTTTCAGTGGGCTGGTTTCAGTCATTATGCAAATGTACTGTTTATAAGATTTGGGGAAACCTGCAGTCAGCTGAGACTGATAAAGTCACTTGGATGAGTGACGAAACGTTTCTCCCACAAAACGCTACGTCCAGATGAACAGAATCAACTTTTGGAGATAAACGATAATTATTTTGTTTTGGTACTAAATTGGTAACCATGCATTGTGTAATTCTATTAGTGTATGTAAATCTCTGTTATTGCGACATCCCTACTGAATTTTTAACATTTTTCTACATTTACACCTACTTGAGTGTCACCTGACAATGAGATATAACCCAACTATAAACTTTTAAAACAAATTGAACTATTTCAGATCAAAACTTAACCACTTTGACAAAGCATGTTTTTCTTACAGTATAATTTAAGTGTTTTTTTAATGTTACCTTTTTATGGGGAAGTCTGACTGTCTTGAGACAACCTGTAAAGTGCAGAGCAAAAGAAAAACAGAAAATAATTATAAAATAGAAAATATCTTCACATTGAGAAATCTTTCATACAGATCTTTGGGGATTTCTTACGGATTCTTTCTGGACGCAGTTGCTCTTGTATCCGTTCCCCAAATGTTGGGTGGGTAGGAGCGACCGGCTGATCCTTTGAGATCTTCTTTGCAGTCACAGAGACTTAGAATAAAGGAAATGTAGTTAAGTTAAATAGTGGTAGTTTAGATAGGATGCAAATTACCCAGCTGATTTAAATAAAAATCTGAAAACTGGTCTCGTCAAGAAGCACAGTCTTTAGCTTTTGATTCTGTCCAACATCTTGCTGTCAAAGATACTCCACACTTGAAGGTGTTTTCTGTCTACTTACCTTTGTCCTTTGTAACCGTTTCTACACTTTCAACTCTTTGCTTTGCCTCCACAGAAATCTCAGGTGATTTTCTTGCAGTCTGCTGTTGTGTTTCTTCTTGTAGAGCAGAATCTGAGCTCTGCTCGGTCTGTTCTGAAGCTTTGAGTGAATCTTCTGGACTTTTGATGACAGTTTGTAGTTTCTGAGGTGGATCAGTGGGTTTTGGTGGCGATATATTTGGCTTGGTCTCAGCTGCACTAGTTGGTAGTTGATTCTCACTCGATATAGCTGGTAACGTCTGATTATCTTTGCCGTCAGTAGAAGTTTCAACTTCTGTGTGGTCCTCCCTTTCAGAAGCTGATGCTTTTCGTGTTTCACCTTTAGGCCCCATCGCAGATTCATGAATCTTTGTTTCAGGTTTCTTGTGTTTTGTCTCTACATCAGGCTTATCCTCTGACGTTGTTGATTTAGAAGGATGCACTTTTTCTTTTTTCAGAGTTCCTGCTGTTTTAGATTTCTGCGTCGATGAGGCCGTTTCTGCTTTGGAAGTCAAGACTTTTGGCTCACCATCAACTGCAGCACCTTTAATTGGTTCAACAGCCTTCATAGCATTGGGTGTATTTTTAGGCGCCACCACAGCTTCTTTAGCTTCTTTAGTTTGAGACCTTTTGGGTTTAGGTTTTCCTTTCAAATCACTGGTGTTAGGCTGCTTTTCGGGACTCTTCGTAGATTTACTCTTAGATTTTTCGAGGCTTGAAGCTGCTTCTTCAGCCTTATCACCAGTTTTTACAGTTTTAGCTTTTTGCTCAGCTGAGATGTTTTTCGCTTTGGAAACCGAGACTTTTGCTGTAGTTTCCAGTTTAGTTTTTGTGGTTTTCTTGGATGCAATTTCCTGTAAACAAAGATAATTTTGGATTAATCAGATTACTGATCATTTTGCCACAGAAAATGTTAATATTTGTATTTCTCAAGGGAAAACAAAGTTACCTTTTCATTAACAACACTGACAGTTACTTCTTTTATGTCAAAGTTCTTTAAGCTCTTCAGTTTCTCAGCATCTTCCTGTTTCTCGAAACACACAACTGCCTGGGTGTGCACACACACACACACACACACACACACACACACACACACACACACACACACACACACACACACACACACACACACACGCTGAAGAACCTTCATGTCTAATCTGCTATTCACTTTACTGTATGTATGTT